CCGACATCCGGGGACAATTTATATCGACGATAAATTCCTGCCCTCTTTCATTAGTGGCCTCGCACGCCAGATTTACGCCTATCTCCCGCGCCATCGTATTTCTCCGCACCTTTTCAATCGTGTATCGGTAGTGAGCACCTTGCTCACTACCCGTGGGAAGGATAGAAGCGACGAAGCTACGAGAAATTCAAGTTTCGATTCGAATTACTTTTTAACCCGTAAACCGTTTTCGTTCGCGTTCATGCGACGGCGCATCGAAGAAATTCGTCCTTCGTGTAGTTCATTGGTGGAAAGAAGCGTGGCGGGACGGCACAGGGGCAAGAGGGGTCCTTATCTCCACTTCGGACGGTTTGTTGACGATCCTAATACCACGAGCTACGTAGCAGTTGGTCATTAAATCGTTAAAAAAGTAAGCAAGTTTAAAATTGGGAACAAAGTTATTTTGAAATGCTTGAATAACGTTTATTCGTAGCTATTATGGTAGCTATCTGCTTTTCGTATAACAACGGTTGTTTACAATTATTTCCAATTATTGTGTTTGAACGATAAATTATTGAAGTAACTTATCGATTTACTATTAAATTTTGTCCATTATTGCTATGTAATAGTAGAAGAATTATAATTTGAATTTTGAAAATCGTAAAAATTATTTTCATTTATGAAGTTACGTTAAGGATAATCGTCTAAAATTGGAAGCTGAAATATTTTCGAAACTAGTATTTATAGTACGTCTAGCTTATTTATATACGTACAATCATTATTTTAACTACTACAAAATTACAAAATTACAAATCATAATTAATCTATACGTATTGATGAGAAATAAAAAACATTTTATATCGATACATTAGAATTCTCTGGATTCTATGCCTACGCCAATGCATCGAAGTTTAAATCGTCGTTTTAGATCAGCCGCACGTGACAAATATGACACAGAAACAAAAATGCGTGTAAAAATACTAATTTCCTTCCAAATTAAGCAATCAGATTCGCATTTCTTCCGTGAAACTTCTTTTCACCAGCAAAATTTAATAGTTGAATAAAGTTATTTGAATAAGTTATTTCGTTAATTTATCGTTCAAAATGTAATAATAATTACAAATAATAGCCGAGATTATACGAAAAGCCGACTATAATAAATATATATATCCTGTTTGCTAGTTGAATTTGTTCCGTTTTCGTTCGCTTGTCTCGTTGCTGCATTCCTGATCTTGACTTTTTTTAAAAAAACCAATAAAGGAACACATTGACAGTTATGTTCCTAGTTGAAGTTGCGAATAGTTAGTTCGATAAATTATTTCAATAATTTGTAGTTCAAAATGTAATAATAATTGCAAATACTGGTCGAGGTTGTACGAAAAATCGATCGATTATAATAACTACGAATAAATATTATTCAAGCATTTTTAATAAATAATTACTCAAAGTATCTTTATTCGAAATTTTTAACTAGTTATTTTTTCAATGCTCAACAACTGCTAGCAGCAAACCACGTTACATTCTCGCGATATAGCATGGATAGTTATAATTGTGCGATCTTTTTCAAGTGGAAACTTGAATACTACGTGGGAAAATACAACGAATTTTCTTCTCTTGCAATCGATAAAAACGACGGGAAAAAGGATGTCGGGAAGGGGAGAGGGGAAGGGAGAAGATTCGCGACGTAGTTTCAACGACGCTTCGAGATCCCTCGCGTGCGGTTCGATTTATCATCTGAATTAAATTTCGATCCACTTCCATAACCGTGAACTTGCGAATCGCATCGCGACGTCCCATTCAATTTAAATTCTCGTTCGATCGAATTTTTTTCGCCGCTCTTATGTAAACGGCGATCCAGCTCAACACTTCGACATTTCACGGTCTACCATTGTGCTCGTGCGCTATGATTCATCATATGTTTGGGTGAAAGTGAAAAATAACAACGGAGGAATAGAGATGGATTGATCGGAAAGAAAATTACATGTATACGAGACGTGTAGAATATTCGAAAAACTATTTTTTAAGAAATATCGATTTAGCAACTTTAGCTTGATTTATCTTTTTGTTAAAGAATATCGAAACGAGACATTCCATGCAAATGCGAATTAAAAAGATACGTGAAATGTCTAGTTCGCTTTTTTTTTTTTTTTAAGATTTTTAAGATATCCATTTTATCGAAATGGATCTTTGAATGATTTATTTCTAAAATATTAGATTGTTATTTTTATAATGGATTTTCTCGAGGAAGAAACGACCAACGAGCTTCTCTCGTTCCTCACCCCGTTTAATTATTTCCCAAGATAAATCGCGATAGATATACCAGAACTCCAATTACCATTCGGAAATTCGTATTGATTACGTAATTATTAATTGCCTTTTTTTTGGATATTTATTTAATTACATTGATGAATAAAATTTCGCGAATCGTTGTCACGCTAATCATCGAGATATGAGATTTTATATTGGTATAAAATATTTTTATATAAGAAATTTTCTATTAAAACTCGAGATACTCGTCCAACGCTCCCAAAGTGAAATTTCGAGAATCGATGCTTGTCGATTAACGTACTCGAACTCGTTGATCCGAAACCATATATCACTCACCTGAGAATGTGCTGATTGGTGGACTGGAGCAAAATGGTGGTGTACTTGGTGATCAGCATTTTTTCCACCCTTTGAGAGATCTCGAAGAGAGGAGAGGATCGAGCGTTGCGAGTAGAATCGTACTGATTCGATACGTGGTGTAGACGTTCCACCAGCGTGGACGATGACGAGGAAGAGAAAGAGGGGTTGAAACGCACTCGTTTCGCATAAATCGCGGCCTAGGAAAATCGAGCAAAGCGGACGAGGTGGGGCGCGCGAATGCCAGGGAAATTCTTCCGGCTATATTTAACGGTTCCAGCAGGCGCAAAGCGATCCGGTCGCATCCTTCCTTCTCCTCCCCTCCTTTCCGAGCTTCCAGCGAAAAGCTTTGACGTCACTCGATCTTGGCTGTGGTCAGGCCGCCGATTTCGCGCCACCTCCGCACGGTCGTCCTTGCTTGCTTCTTTTCGACGGTTCGCGTCGAGGCGTGGCTTCGAGGCTGATCCGAGTCCTCCAACTTGGCGTCGATTCCGATCGTATTTTGTTGATTAATCGGATTTTCCTCTCTTCGACTCTCGCCCGTTCCTTCCCACTATTGTTATTATTATAGAAGGCAATTTTTCGTGGAAAAATTGTCCGATGCGATCACACGATAAATTTAAGTGCGATTAATGCAGACACGGCCGATGATTCACGTTATACACCTTCATTCTATTTGATGATGTTTCTTTTTTTTTTTTTTATTTTTTTTTTCCAACGTTACGAATATGGTTACGATCAGACAAGATTTTATTTCTGGAAATTTTATTCTATCGCAAGTTTGCTTCTTCGATCAACAATTTTGCGTCAGAAAGTTGAGCGGATTCGACGAATTATTCTTTTTTCTTGATAAAAAAGCGCGACTATTTACATCGATCCCTCGCCATCGAAGATCTCCGACTCACTCAACGTCCAATCTCTTTACCCTTGATACGGTCGCGAAAAATTAATTCGCCGCTCTCGAGCGGAGAAATCTGGTTCCAGAGGAGGAAACGTAGCACGCACACACGCGCACACGCGCACGCACAGCTGCCGCGAGAAAGAAGGGTCGAGCGAAACGCAGGCTGCGCTCTCGTTGCTCTTGGAGGAGCTGGCGAACGAGCCCCAAGGTTTTGCACAGCGTTTACCCGGCTGACAGATAGCGGCAGGTGCAACGATCG